AATGAAACAAAACATTGAAGCCATGAGGAAAAGGAAGGTGTCATCAAGAATGGAAGAAATAAAGCATAAAACAAGTGTCTATTCATATAAGTGCTTGACCCGAGAGTGCTTATTATCGAGACGCAAGATTAAAGATGATGATTCTAACCATGAAACTGTAGAATTTTTCTTTGATTTGCAGGACAATCTAAAAGCCACAATTTGTCAAATATAGAAACCAATAGACGTGATCCATGGAAGTTTAAAAGATTTATCTCTTCAGTTGCCAAAGACTGTGACTTTTCAATAAATGGACATGACCCTTGGAGAACCAAAGAATGTGCCTTTTGGAGTGCCAAAAGTTATGATCATTGAAAGCAACATATCTTGTGATTCAAAAGACATAACTCTTGGCCATCCAAAAGATGTGAACAGGGAGTATACCTTCAACTTACTAATGGTTAATAATTCCCTTACTTACAAGAGTTTCCATTCTTTTCAGGACATGAACATTCACAACATTTATTCAAATGACATGACCTATGAAAAGAATCTTTACAAAAAGGTACATGTTGGTATGCTACTATCCAAAGAAAGGCCTTTAGAGAGATATCTTTTCAAAAAGAAATGTCTTGAACAAGTGCCTATTAGGGAGATAACTCTTAATAACGAAACAACAACCATTGGATGGAAGGACATTATAGAGAAGTCACCTTTCGATTTGAGGAAAAATTGTTCAAAAGAAAGGGGATGATGTGATCCAATTCAACACCATATGCACCCTTGCATCTCCAACCTTTCACAAGATTAAAGGGGGATTTTCTATAACTCATTATTATTTATATACATTATGATCATGATATATATATATATACACTATATTTTCTTTGTTATGACATTGATATCTTTATATATATATTGCATATATAGCTATGATAATAATATTTCTCTCATTATTATGCAATGCATGAAGTTATTATTGTAACTATAGTCCACATCTTTATATTATACACATTGTTATTTTATAATATTTCATATGCTTAATTTCTTTATCCTTGAATGAAGGTACATTCGGCCACACCTAAGTGAGCTAATTTGAGCTAAATAATGAAAGGGTAAAGCTTGGAGACTCATATAGGAACACTCAGGAGAGCATAAGGAACAATTGGTGAAAATTTATTCGGTGACAAGTGAGCTCAAAGCTAGATTGAGTTGAATATTTGAGCTAGAAGATGACTTGATTTCAGTTGGGGAGTTGCACCATCATCACCACCATTCAGAGTAATTCAAATATGGATCAAGTCAAATTTTCATAAATCGTACCTTTTCGCGAAGATGTGCATTTCCCGGAGATGACTTTTCACAATGAGCTACCAAAACACTCATCATCATACAACTCACCTATGGCCAACTCACCTCCAGCTCATTCACCTTAGAACTAGCTCAATCATGAAGGGTTACCTTTCAACCATTATGACCTTTCATGAAAGTTGATGTCCATTGAAGTGACATGACATCTAGGTACACGTTGGTGAAGATTTTTCATCAAAAGGAGACCTAAATCTCGAAGAGGTATGAGACAAGCATCATGACCATTCGGCCAGCCCCCACACGCCATGCACAAAGAGTTTTCGCACCAATATGAACCAACATCTCACCATTTGGCCAAGGAAGGTTCCATGCATGTGTTAGCCGAATAATTAAGTCCCTTTCTGAAGAGATAGCCGAACCAACATGAAGATTAAGGGACTTGTTCATTCATCCTAATAGTTATGCATTTTCATTAAGACATGTACTTTGTCGAATATGCACATATCTATTCGGCCAGCCTTCTTAACTCCTATAAATAGAGAGGCATATTTCATTTGTAATCAACCTTTTTGATAAATCAAACTTATTTTGTGAGAAATCTCTCTCTTCAAGTTCTTTTAAGAACTATATCGATTAAGAAAGTATAATTCTTTATACTTGTGGCGTCACTTCTTTCAAATGATACTTATAATTCCTAGTTTCTATAACTAGTGGGTTTAAGTCCTAAACACCATCCCTTATTCGAGTTTGTAAAGTTCGGGGCTATACTCTCTATAGTATAGTTTCTTCTTTAACTTGTCTAAGATACTATTTCCATTTCCATCCACCATCTTCAATATCTTTCACTTAAACATCTATCCATCCTCATCATCCTTCATTGTCGTGCATACCATGACATTAAGGTCATCTTCAACATCCTTTGAAGACCACCATTGCCATACTTCTTCCACAGAAACTCTAATCATTTCTTCATTTTTAATTCATTTTATTTTCTATTTATTTTTATCATTATCGTCATTACTAATCCATTTTCTTACCCTAATATTTTGTAGTCATAATTATTGAATCTGAAGCAATAATTGCTATCATTTCCTAGATCGAGACAACAATAAGGCTATATATCGTCTTTTTCATTGAGGGCATAGATAGGCTTACATCACCATCCAACTGATCGAACGTATGCTATTGAACCTCAACATCAACCAGTATGGCAGTAATGCGCGCAAGAGAAAACGGTTCTTGACTGGTGGTGATAACCACAACAAATGGACGATACTGCGACGGCGTACCATTGAGAATCGTAATAACTTGTTCATATTCCGACACCGGAGCTCCACATACGGCCAAAGCATCACAAACCTCCTTGACTTCAGCAATATAAGAGCACATATTCTGGTCCCCTTTGCGCATCATCTTGAGCTTATAATGCAAGCTCATAATAGTTGTAGGCGATTTGCTTGCAAAGAAGGCAGTGATGCGCGAACAAATTTTTGCCGCCAATTCTTCTCCAACCAAGTGAGGAAAAAGGGAATGATCTATCATTGACAAGAGCCACGATGCAAGGGCGCTATCCTGGGAAACAAACAGCTCGTAGTCATCATTTTCCACCACGGCACTGCCATCAAGAACCACCGTCGGACTGGGCGGTCGAACGTTGACATTCAAAAGTTTTTCCAATCGATGACTTCTAACGAAGAGGAGAATATGTTGCTTCCACAGTAGATAGTTAGACTCATCAAGGATCACACTTTCTCGCTTATTTATAAACATGCCACCGGAAACAACACCTGAGGTGGCCAGAGGTGAAGACTGCATCACCGGAGAAAAGCAAATACCCTTGGTGACCAAAATAGGAGTAAAAAGATAATTGAGTGACAAATGATGCAATTTATCCATTAAAAGGTGCCACGTGAAAATCACCTATTAAGTTTTTTATGGTCAGGTATTAAAACGAAACAAAAACTGATAAATTAGATACTAAAGATATTCTTTGCCCCAAAAAAAAGGTGAAGTTTATATATTAAAAATAACAAACAGATTACAACTTAGTTGGACTACTTTATATATATATATATATATTAGCAAGGGAATCTTTTGCTCATGTTTGGACAAAAGCAGAGCTGGGAAAAGGGTTATAATTGTATAAAGCTTGATATTGATATTTTCTAGTACTCTGAGATGGATCAAAAAGAGTGGGTGGGCATTGTTATTCTTAAAATTTTTAAATTATCAATTGATAATTTATTTTTATCTTAGAATTTTGTAAGTTCGATTCTTTTTAAAATTTTAAATTTTTTCGCTTAACATAAAAATTTTAGTTTGTCCCTGCTCGTAACCATAAGTACAAATATATATTTAATCACGTTTAAGTTTTTTTCCTCGCTGAATTTAAAAAAATAATATTTTGTTACTTTCGTTTTTATTTAATTAATATGTAGTCATTAAGGGTTAATTGTCACTAGACCTTTAAAAAGGGTAAACTAAGTTGTGACCATAGTGAATATATAAAATTAAAAAGAGTAAACTACACAAATGATCACTAATGTTTGAGTAAGTTTTCGATTTTCCATTGAAGTTTCAAAATAAACAAATTGGTCACTAAAACATCAAATGGGTTATTTATATCTAATTTACCTCAAAAACTTTTTAATTTTCAATTTTTTTCAAACACCCCACTATATCAACTATATCCGCATGAAACATTCTTCACGCAGCTCTCATCTAAATACGGTTTGTTGGTTGCACGATAAAATCATTACGTTGATCAATGTCTAATGACAATTAATTCTCAGTGACCACATCTTAATTAAATAATAACGAAAATGATTAAATGTTTTTTTAATTCAACAAGGAAAATTGTAGAAAACTTAAACGAAAATTATTAATACTTTAGCTTACCAATTTATTCTACATGAATTAAATGACTTTTTAGTATTATATTCTTTTACCTATTGATTTCAATTTTAATACATATATGTAGCAGCTTCTTAAGTATAGTGTGTGGCAAGTTGTGCACATAAATTTCAAGTCAAATATTTCACTTGAAAAATTAGGGGAAAAATCAAACGAAATTTTATTATGAAGAATAGAGTTACAATATTGGTAGATTCTTTGGTTGTTCTCTTTGGTGAAATTTTAGTCCAGTAATTGTTAAGATTTGTTCTTGAAAGGAATGATCCACTTTAATTGTTTGTAAATTTGATCTTGACAAATGAGTCTTGATCTTTCAAATAAACAAGATGAACCAATATTTTCACATAAAAAATAACACAGATTCAATTTTGCCCAAAAAAATATATAGAAAATAATAATATTTAAATTTTGAAACAATACAAGAGCCTTTTCCATATTTAAACCTTTAAAATATACTTTTTTTAATTAATCACTGGTATATGATTTATTGATCGACTAATTCAGATCAGATACTACAGACGTAATGCCTATCCTCCCAACTCAGTTTGTTCCATCGCAAATGTCAGGATTCGAACCTCTAACCTTTTTTAAGAGACCTAATACCTCATTTCCACTAGATCAACTAGTTATTGGTTAAAATATACTTTTTGAAATGCAAGATATTGGAAATTATCAAATTATGATAAGTAGAGGGATTAAATCCATCTATAAAATGGCCAGAAGAAAGTGGTACAAATGGAACTATTCTTTTGTAGATAGCAAAACAGAGTGGAATTTTCTTGAATTTAGAAAGTTTATCCAATCTATAAGATAATCTCCTCAACACCATATTCCAATCTTTTCACAAAGCATCAAACAAAAATACCAATAAAAAATGAAGATTCCATCAACCAAACTCTTTGCTTTGTTTTCCAAATATACATGATCTTGTTGGAAACTTAATAACCTATACAGCTGATCCTGGATTTTACCCCATGAACTTATCTGCATTTTACTTGAAACATATGAAATTCTTTGTTAGGAGGGACTAAGCTTCTTTCTCATGTTAGTTTCTTCCCGATATCACATCTCTGGTTTTAATCGACCTGCGGAACGATGATAAGAGGCTTAAGGTTTGAAAATTGGAAGAACATGTTGGAAAATATTTGTCTGTTTACTTGGATGAATACCGTTTAGTCCAAAACCATCGATGGTCGAACCCGACTAAAATCCCATTTGAAAAAGATTGTGCAGCTCGTTTTCTAGTACGGTCTGTTAATAGACAGAATAGTGTTTGAATCGGTATTCTGATGAGCAAAGGGCGAGAAAAGAATGATGTTTCAACGTTCTTTTTAATACCTGAGGCAAGAGAGGGAATTGTGGATTTGAATTTGGGACGCCTGAAATTGTTCCGAGAAAGGTACTAGGGGAGAAACTGTGAGGAGAGTTCGTCCCTGGACCGAATCCGAGAACTGCAGCACTTCCACTCCGTGGATGAAGAATCTGTATTGGGGGGAGAGTAAGGATTCATGTTGCTTCCAATATATCAAATCATATTTGATTGTATACTTTCTTTGTTACATATGGAAGAATAACTTACATCTTTGGATAGAATTCTGACTAAATCAAGGTTTAGCTCCGGGTTGACGGTGGCGAGTTTCATCGATAAAAACTGCATTGGAAAAAAGAAGTTAATTACATTCATTGGCATTTTGTATACTATGATCCAAGTAGCAATGTCACAAGCACTGATTCGAAGTTTCGAACATACATCACATTTGTAAATATGCAATGGTACTCAAAATTCATGTCCTAAACCTTGGTATAATACTGCAAAAGCTATAATATAAGGCCCCGAGGCGAGGGAGTTCGTATTTGGTTACAAGCCGATGGCAAGATAAGTTGCCAGAAGAAAAGATATTAACTCAAAAAAATTCACTCAAGGATGATAATCCATTTCCATTTCTTATCAAGGACCAACAAAAAGTTAAGCAGATTATCCAAAGTAAGGAAACTTCGCTCGATATTTTGATTCGAAGTTCTGATTTAGCTACTTGATTGTGTTAGTTTAGTCCGAAGAACTATACCTCAATAACATCGAACGGAGCTCAAGTGCATGATAACTTTTGATGTAAACAAGAAATCCTTAGTTACAATCATAGTATTGTACCTCAACCTGCTGTTGCAATGACTGGACATAGTTGATAATCTCATCCAGCATTACAGCTTTCCCAGTAATCTAGCACAATGAAACCACCACAAATAATCAAGATTCCGTTTCGTTTCAAAAAATTGTATCCTCATACCCTTGTACAAATGTGTCAATTATGCAACCTCTGCTTACCTTATTGCACCCTGGTACGAGTTCTTGAAGCAATCTCATTCTCTCACTTATCTTCTCCCTTCTCACCTGCAAACACGAAAATTCCCAGATTCATTACCAAGTTAAGAACACAAATATTGTTCATTTAATATCGGAACAGGAAGTTACCCTTTCTGCAAGGCTATGACTGTTTGTAGCCTGACCCCTTCTTGCTCTCACATGGATGTAGTTTTCTTTAGGAGATTCCTCGGACTGTGAACTGTCTTTATCTTGTTTAGCAGTTTGCTTACCACGTGAATTAGCACCCGTATTCTGTACCGTTTTCGGTTTCTTCCTGGCCTGTTCCCTCGGACCATCACAGCCCTCACTAGACAGATTCATTACAGGCCCTTCATCACCATTCTAATGCAAATAACAAAGCTGAATTACCAAGTCTGCGGTATGATAGATTGTCATATTGCTTCATTTTTTATAGCATTTGTAAACATAGATTGATATCAACAATATACCTTGCATGATCTTAATGGAGAGCCGGATTCAGGAGCACGTTTTCGGATCTTTCCATTAGGCGTGATGTCTACAAGCGCTTCTTTTGAGATTTTGCGCTCATCAAGAAATAGTAAACTATTTGTCGAACCCCTTCCGTTGCCACCCTCGGTGTTTAGAGCGAAATCCGGGGGGCACCTGCTGTTGGCAACTTGATTGCATTGTGGTACACTAAAGGGACCAACCATTTGAGAAAAATTTCCACCATCAAAGCCAGTAAGCTCTGGAACCAACTCAACATAGCTTGGATCAGATTGATACTGGGAAACATGGGAAGTGCCACTAATTCCCTGATTTTCCATCACAAGATGGTAATGGGAAGCCATTGAAGAACCTCCAATGCTTTCACTCTGTGAAACAATTGGATCCCAACCAGAACTGAAGAAAGGATCTGATGTATTTGAAGACTTGTTGAACATGGATATTGAACTCATTGCCAATCCCATATCATCATTTTCACTAGTCATTTTCTAAGATTCAAAAGCTAAAAAGAAAACCCAAATTCTAAGGAAAATCAACCTTTGGTTTGACCAAACATAGTTTGGGGGGGATATCTTGCAGACTGAACAAGGAACAAACAACAATGGCAGCTTTATAGAACTGAGAGAATGCTAAAGTAAAGAAACAAAGAAAAAGTGGAAATCAAATACATCTGGCACAAGAAAATCTTAATAGAGACCAACTATTTAGCTCTTGTTCTGATAAACCCTAGGATCAAATCTACTCTGCAGCAAGGCAAAAAAGAGAGAAAATTCCTCCTACAGGACATGAAAGTGAACCTTTCAGAGTATAAAGTTAACAGCTTGCAAGTGTTAAAAAAAAAAGCAGATTCCGTTTGTATTCCTTTGAGCCTAGAGAAGAACAATAGTTTTCTTTCTATTTTTTTTTCCACAATCTCAAGGAGGATCAATTCTTGTAGAATGAAAAGAAAGCATCCAAGTTCTGAATTAACCCCTGGAAAAGGAATTTGAAAAAACGAGTGTTCCAAAAAATGGCCAAAAAGCATCAAATTCTTACTTGAATTATGCAAGAACTGAGATGAAGCAGGATGTCATTCACAGTCCCCCTGAAATTGGGTGTTTGATGGTACCCTAAAAGCATCAAATGCTAAAGCTCTTTTAACAATAAATCAAATTCACTAATTTGGAACTAGCACAAACACCAAATGAAGCATTAAATTCCAACCCTTTTATGTTTAAACCCTCAGAAATTCAGATGAGTTACAAGACTAGAGAGAGAAAGTAAAAACTTAATAAAGAAAGATTGAAACTTGCAGAAGCTTAAGGGTGACATGTATGTATATATCTATGTATGAATGTATGTATTGTTCTCAAAAGGCAGACCTAACTACTTTGCCAACTGCTCTCTCCTCCTAAATTATTGCACAAACTAAGTGAATTATACAAATGATTTATTTAAACCCTATTTTATTTTTAATTTTTGACTGACACATTTTGCCAACTACTATTCTGATTAAACAAGAACAGGGCCTTCTTTGCTGTTACACACTTATGGCTCTCACACTTGCTAACTAACCCCCTCTTATTTTCATTTATTTTAAGAAAAAAAACTCTCAATTACAAGACCTAAGCTTTATCGTCCTCCATGGACCCCACTCTTTTCCCATCACATGCTTCACATTGTCCCCACAAAATCTCCCTTCTACACCATCCTACCTATTACACGATTCTTCAACCTCTCGAATATGATATGTGTTCGATATGAAAATATAAAATAATAAACCATTTAAGTTGATAAAAGTCATTAGTGTACATTCATACAAGATGTTTCGACGGTAAGATGTGTGTAAATGATAATTGTTAAATATATTCTGATCAAATATTATTTTTGTAATCAATTTATATTATTAAAAAAGTCTGTAACAAAAAATTTTACTAACGTGTCAAATTTCTTGGTTTCATAGGAGAAATAAAAGATGAGAGTCATTGATGAATAAAATTCGAGTTGACTAAAAATAAATAAAATTTTATGTTGATCTAGTGTTAAAAAATTGACTCGACTCAAAAAATTCAAACAAAGTTTGAATTATAAAATATCACTTGAATAACTCAAAATCTTTTGTAATGAATGGATTAGTTTTCAAGTTTAAGTTGAGTTTTTAACTCTACGTGACATATGTATACCACATATGAAAATATATATATAAGTATTTATGTTTATCGTGTGTGGTTATAAAAGTTTATTTAAATTGGAATCAATTAATATTATAATATTATAAATATTTATAATTAAATTTAAATAGAAACTCAAACAGCTCAATTCGACTAGACTTTTATAAATTTAACTTAACTCGAAAAATTTAAAATAAAATTTAAATTATAAAATAAGACTCATCAACTCAAATAATTCTATTTTTTTATTCGACTCGATTGAATACTCATAATATTATTTCCCATGTTTTTTTATCAAAATTTTTAATTGGTTAATGAATAAATTAATCCTCGTAGGAACATAAAGAATAATGGAATCTAATCATCAATTTCAGCTTATTATCCTGCTACAGCTTTCCAGCTGTAAGCTGATTAAAAAAGATCCACCTCGTCAAAATCAGACTATTTGGTCAACTTCAAGTCCCTTGGCTGTGATCTTGCTGGAAGTAAAGATTGTTTATAACCAGGGGCGAGATCAACGGCTGATTTTGCTTGGAAATGCATGATTGATGAACTGAACTCATTGTCCACTTTTACATGAAATGTGCTGTTATTGTTTCGATTTGATGTTTGATGTGATCTTTCCATACGTTGATGTGGGAAGTGGACCCCACGTCAAAGGGATCGGATATGGAGATGGTATAATGGGGATGGTACACCTAACTGACCTGTGTGGCTACTCACACCAAATCATTCTTCTCGTTACCAAATGATCCAATAAAGAGTGGGCTGTCATTTGTCAATGACAAATATTTGTTATTATATTTTAAAATATTATCGGCTAAAATATTTTAAAAGAATATAAGCAAAAGTTACAATTAAATCAAACATTTTGAACAATTTTTTGTTATTATACCAACTGTTTTTAAAGAATAATATTTTTTTGGTAAACTAATTATTTGATCATCCCATTATTATCATATTTTCTATTTTGATCACCCAGTTGATAAAACATTCATTTTATTCACTAAGGAGATAATGAAATTATAATAAACCTATTTAGCCATCAAATTGTTATTATATTTCGTTTTCTGTCATCAATCATTTAAAATTTATAAAAACGATGATGTGAATAATAATGTATTGAAACTTCAATATTTACATATTCTTTTAATTTAATTTAATTTAAAATAATTTAATAAAATTAATCATGACTTATAAATTCTATCTATTTATTTTTTTATTATAAAAATATTAAAAAATTGATATTGATAAGTATACCACAAACATTTTGACAAATACATGTGGCATGAATTATCTTGAATGGTTAAAGAAGTTGGTGACTGAGAATTCTTTTGCTGGTGAATTTAATTGCTTAACTGGGATTATTTTTTGAGAAAATCGCCTCAGTGATCAAAAAAAAGTTATAATATACGATTTTAACCAACTTTTTTTAGATTTGCCAAAATGACCAACAAAATCGCAACGCGAAATAAAAATCGCAACGCGATCCCCAGAATCGCAAATCAGTTTCCAAAATCGCAACGCGATTCTTGAAAATCGCAATGCGATAGTACAAATTCGCATTGCGATTTTCCAAAATCGCAACGCGAATATGAAAATCGCAACGCGAACACATAAATCGCAACGCGTATCCGTAAATCGCAACGTGTATCCGTATATCGCAACGCGTATCCGTAAATCGCAACGATAATACATAAAATCGCAACGCGTATCCGTAAATCGCAACGCGATATTTAAAGCGCCATTATAATCGCTACGCGTATTTTATTTTCAAATTACAAAAACGAATATTAAGACAAAATCCCGTAATCGCAACTCATAACCTAAAACCTAAAATCACAACTCAGTCCCATCTCCATCTCTCACTCTCTACGGCGAAGAAATCCATCCCCATCTCCGAAGATTTCCGTCCCCATCTCCGGCGAAATCCCTCACAACCATTCACGGTCAGAAATCCCTCACAATATTCAGAAATGGAAAATCAACCTCCGAGGGTTAGTTTTTTAATTATTTTATTTTGAAATGTTTGCATTATTGTAGGTTTTTCATATTGAAACTGATGATAAGTTTACTGGTCATTTCAATAATAGATTAACCATTTCACTTAGATTTCATTTCGCGTTACGATTCTGTCGTTGCGATTTTCATTTCGCGTTGCTATTCTCTCGTTGCGATTTTCAAGTTAGTATTTGTCTTTGTCTTTGTTCTGTCTTTTGGTTGAAGTAATGCAATCCATTCAAGTTTCAATTTGCAGAAGAGTCGCAATGAGATAAATGAAAATCGCAACGAGAGAATGACTGTCGCAACGAGAGAAATGAAAATCGCAACGAGAGAATCGCAACGCGAAATGAAAATCGCAACGAGAGAATCGCAACGCGAAACCAAAATCGCATTGCGATTTTCATTTCGCGTTGCGATTCTCTCGTTGCGATTTCATTTCGCGTTGCGATTCTCTCGTTGCGATTTTCATTTCGCGTTGCGATTCTCTCGTTGCGATTATCATTTCAACCAAAAGACAAAACAGTGTTGCAAATTTTAGTTTCAAGAATAAACTACTACTTTTATGTTTATTGTTTTTGGTATATCTTCACAGTGTAGTTTTGGTATATCTAACTTGGTATGTTTATTGTTTTTGTAGAAATTTTTTTCGGCTCAATTGACCTTGAGAAATAAAGTCAGCCTGGCCACTACAATTGCTTCGAAGCTTTCACCTGCTCAAAGACAATTGTTTGAGGAAACCTGCTTCGGGCCATGGCTGAGAGTACAGCATCCGGGTGGAGATGCTAATTTGACCCATTTGTGGCTTCAGACCATGACATCAAATCTACCCGACAGTATACAACGTGGTGAGGAAGAGATATGGTTTCATTTTCCACCAGCGTATACTTGTTTGGGCGGAAGGAGTTCTGCTTAATCACTGGTCTACGATTCGGACACGATGATGTAGGCCGGTACACTCGTCATATCGCCCGCCCATCATGGTTATCCGGGTTTTTCCGGATGAGTCAATGGAGAAGCCGAACCTACATGTCGACGACCTGAAGAAATTGTTTAATAAGAAAGCTGGTTTCACTCGGATGGATGACGTCGATGTTGTCCGAGTATGCCTTCTACTACTTGTGTATGCCGGCTTTTTAGGCAGAGAGGCCAGACAACCTATTCATCGGGAGCTAATAATATTGGTAGAGGACCTGAATGCATGGAATCTGTTTCCGTGGGGTTCGTATATATAGAAAGCTACCTGGACTAAGTTGTCGTCTGCCTTTGATGACCGCAAAAGTTTGCGGGGCGATGGGTCCAAATACACTTTGTCAGGCTTTGTTTGGGCCTTTAAGGTAAGAATTTCTATATAATGTTTCTAAAATTATAATTAATTATTTAACAATTACTAATTTTGTTATTATATTGTTTGTAGATTTGGATATTCGAGGCTTTCCCCAGCATGCGTACATATGCAATAAAAACGTCAAATGATATTCCCAGGGCTATTTCCTGGAATAGGAAAACTCTGTTGGATTGGGAAGACTTAATACCATATGCGACAATAAATAATGTAAGTTAACACAAATACTTTCATATATATATAAACAAGTTATTAATAGTAGACGTTTAACTTTGTTTGAGTTTTTATATTTTAGGAGGCCAACATTCCATTACAAAGACTGACACCCACGGAGGAAGAGCTTGCCACTGATTGGTGGCAAGCTAGTCAGAGTTTTTTTGATGGCACGGATGATGAGCAGCATCCACTTCCTCCAATTCGAGAGCCATCACCTCACCTAGAGCCATCACCCGATCGACCCGACTATACACCTCTAGAACGAGAGCCATCACCTATCCCGTCACATCATCGAGCCTCTTCTCCACCATCACCTCATGATAGGCGACCGGCAAAGATGCCACGACTCCTATCTCCCTGTTCTCCACCTCCACCTCAACGGGATGAGTCAAGGGAGTTACGTGATGAGGTCAATGCCTTGCGTGAGGAGATCGGTACTCTACGCGATAACGATGGTGCATGGCGTGTGGAGGTATCAACTTTACGTGGTGAGGTTGCCGCTCTACGTGAGATGATAGTATCGTTGCAGAATG